GAGCCATGATACTCAATTCCAACTACTTTATTGTTGAATTTGATGTGCTTAAGCAGATCAAAATGGCGTGCGTAAGCTTGGATATAATCAAAGACTTGATGTTGGTTAGGGAAGTCATCTGTGACCGAAGATGGCCACGGAAAATCGGAGAACTGGTATAACTCTTTCGGAGTTTGGAGTTTTGTAGACTCAATTGTTTTGGACCACACCCCTCCAATGCTGCTTTGAGCCTCAAAAACGATGGGGTGGAAACCCTTGGAGAGGATATACTTACAGGCTATTAAGCCACTGACACCAGCCCCAATTATGGCCACCGTTCTCTCCATTGCCCCAAACTTTGGTATGCCCTGTTTTCGCCCCAGCCAGCTGAATACAGGGGGAAACTTAAAGAGACTTAATTAATTGCATAATTAAGCCTCGGTTTCCATTAAATTTGATATGAGTAAATAGTTTTTTATTTGTTTGATATCCTTACACTTTTTCTTTTGCCCATAGTTTGATATCCTTGGTCAAACTACTTGTCCTCCTGGTGTGGTTATATCTTAAAGAGCCATATCGAGATAAAGTTTAGCTGTTCATACGTGATTATTTCTTTTTATTAATAAGAGTTTAGATTAAATTAATATTTATTAATTTAAAATTTTAATTTAAGGTCAAGTTTTTTTTTTTTTTGAAAATATAATTTAATTTTCAAAATGTTGATGAGAATCAAAATCCCAATCAATAAACTCAAAATTTTTAAGGTCAAGTCTTTATGTTGTGAAGTAGTTAATTTTCAAATATACAAAATAGTAATAAAAAGTAACTCTTTTATTTAACAAATTTCATATTCTGTTGAAGGAAAAACTTGCCGTTTAACATTCTTTGAGTTTATAGGTTTAAAGCTGTGTAACAACTTCTTACTCTAACAGAATTTAAAATTTATAAAAGCAAAAATTATTATAATTAAACTTAAAAAATAAGCTCCCCTAAATACCCCATATAGAGTCCGATCTTGCAGATACAGAGCAAGTGGAGCTATTTTTCCTTTAGCGGGTGCCATCTCCAGGTCAAGAGTTTAACCCACGGCCGT